ATTTCTAGAGGTTCTTCTAAACGTAGAGAGATGTATGCTATGAATAACACAAGCGATTCCCAAAATCAATACTTAAAAGCTATTTATATTTATTTTTCAAACCAAAGTGTTAAAAAAAATTCGTAAAAAAATCATAATTATTTGCTGGATAAGCTATACTTGCTATGAATAACACAAGCGCTCACCGTTAATTCGCCGGATAAGGTATACTCCTTCTACTGCCAACTCCGTGAACGCCGACGAAGAATCCAGCGCCGAAACCAGTTTCCATCCTTCACGTAAATTCTATTTATCTTCACTTCACAACTTCATCTATACGCATTACATGTTATTTTCATCATCAGTGTTACAGTGTGAATACTGATTTCTTTTGATATGTAGGTTATAGAAAAAGCAGGCCATGGTTCATTGAAAGGAACTATGAATATGAAGTTTACAGGCTATTCAATTTCCCTTTCATTTTCTCCTTTAACTTCCAATTTCATCAAAAATACTCCCAGATTTCAGGCCACTATATCTCGAAGAAGCCCTAGAAATTTATGCATTTCAAGCTTCTTTTGTTCCAAACAACAATCAAATGATAAACACGGCCCGGTTCCAAACCACTATCTTCCTCCATGGTTTAGGTCACTAGTACTATCTATTTTCTTTTATTTTTGTTATTGAACAGTGCTTTTGGGTAATTATTTTTTATTTTGTTTGTGTTGGTTTGAATTTCAGTGTTGCTCCAATGATGGACTGGACGGACAATCACTATAGGACTTTAGCGCGTCTCATATCTAAGCATGCTTGGCTGTATACCGAGATGCTTGCAGCCGAAACTATTGTTCATCAAAAGGATAATCTCGTAAGTTTAAATGTATAAGTTAGCTGCTGAGAATCACTGACTACAATCATGATTTTTTGTGGAAAGATATATCCGTATAGGACTTGTTTTTTCAACATTTATGTTTTAGACGGAATCTTATTCAACCACCAGTTTGGGATAAATTGTATTGCAAAACCATTTATTTGTTCATTTTGTGTATTTTGCTCAGGATAGATTCTTGGCATATTCTCCGCAACAAAATCCCATTGTGCTTCAAATTGGAGGGAGCAATGTAGAAAGTTTGGCAAAAGCAACTGAACTTGCTAACGCGTATTGCTATGATGAGATCAATTTAAAGTTTGTATATATATCCTATCCTATCATTTTAAATCCTAAAGTTTCATTGTTCTGCTATTGGTCTCTGACTCTAGTTTTTTTCTATAAACATATATCAGCTGTGGTTGCCCAAGTCCAAGAGTAGCTGGACATGGGAGTTTTGGTGTGCGTCTTATGCTTGACCCAAAGGTTAGAAAATTGTAATTAGTTCTATATGACAATATGCAATTCGATTGATTGTATGAATTTTCCTTGTCAACTTGCATTGATATTGGAATTTAATGTATACAAGAAAAGTTTGTTGCCGAGGCTATGTCAGCAATTGCTTCAAGTACAAATGTACCTGTCAGTGTCAAATGTCGAATTGGCGTGGATGATCATGATTCTTACGATGAACTGTGTAAGGATCTTCATTATACATTCTTATGCAGAAATAATATTACAGTGCACCAGATATATGTCTGCAGATTCTATCTTTTATAAGATTTTGCAACTAAGCTATACTCAATTGGTGGCTAGCATTTATTTAGATTGCACTCAAAAAGGTTACTTCATTTATAAGTGCATGGTGGGCTTATTATCATTGAATCCCTTGGTTACTGTTTTCCTTAATGCAAAATTGTGACACGCTGATAGGAGCCACTAATCTTGTAGGAAATTATGACTGCTTTAGTAGCAATAGAGGCAGAGTTTTGTATTTGGTTGTTAGCCATTACCAAGTGAATAAATTATGGATTAATTTGAAACATAGAGATATCAGAATCTAACGGAAAATAGATTTGATGGAGTTTTTAGGACCACCCTTTTTTTGTGCTAAAACATGGCCACGGGTCATCTTGCTTCATATAAGTTTGGCCTTTAATCATACCGGCCACCATCTATCCTTTACAATATCTACAAGATGACACTTTGATGCTATTTGTTGAGACATTACCCTGAATCCTGATTTACTCTCCTTTGTTCCTATTATATAGATATTTTGTATACATCTTTGTGATTGTAAGTCTCATTCTTATCCCTATAATTTAGGGATCTTGATTGTTACCTTTTCATTATAAATACACAAGAATGGGGGATTGTGATTTAAATCTTAGGTTATAGTTTCTTCTATAAAGTATTTGGATCATGGTTTTTGGGGTTTTATAGTGAACTTTCTGTCGTCTATCAGGTGATTTCATATTCAAGGTTTCTTCTTTATCACCCACTAAGCATTTCATAATTCACTCAAGGAAGGCACTGCTCAATGGCATTAGCCCAGCTGAAAATAGGAGTATTCCTCCGCTGAAGTATGTTACAGTTAAATTTGGTTTTTGTAGTCTTACACATGATATATACGCTCTCACATACCCACGTATATACACAAATACAATAATGTGTCCGTAGAAATGTAAATGATATGATGCGTTATTCAATGCAGATACGAATACTTTTATGGCCTCTTACGAGACTTTCCAGATTTAACATTCACAATAAATGGGGGTATTGCTAGTGTTGATGAGGTAAAGCCACTGTCACTGTTTTGTGATTCTGTGTCAAACCTGATATCTGTAGGAATATTTGGAATTTTTCAGTACTAAATTTAATTTGTTCTCTTATAATTACTGCATATTGTTCTGACGTTTCTATCTTGGACTATTTTCATGGGGACTTCGGTTATAGGTTATTGCAGCTCGAGAAGCTGGGGCTCATGGCGTTATGATTGGACGTGCAGCATTCTATAAGTAAGCGTTGAATTCAAATTTCCCCTTTTTGCCCATATGATTTTTTAAACAAAAAAGTTGCTTTATTTCAAGAACCAGGATTTGCTTTTCAGTAAAAGGAAAAAAAAATCTTCTTAAAAGTTGACCCCTCTTAATATTGTCTAATTATTTATGCAAAGTTCATATGCGGTGGCTTGAATAACCATTGTCGATAATCTCAACAGCCCTTGGAATGTATTGGGACATGTTGATACTGCAATTTATGGTGCACCAAGCTGTGGTCTTACACGTCGCCAGGTTCATTTAGACAATGCTCGGCTTTCCATCGATTAAATTGCACTGATACTTTCTCATTACTCAGTATGCCAGTTTTTGTCTTAATTATTTATCTTGTTAAATTAAGGTTCTTGAAAAATATATAGTCTACGGGGACTCGGTGTTGGGGAAATATGGACATAAGCCAACTGTACGAGACGTCGTAAAGGTGGGTAGCCTTCAATTGATTTTGTAATTTCTTACTCTCTGGAAAATGGAAATCTCTGTAGTGCATGTGTTGTATAGAATACCTGTTATTTAGTATAGCTATTGTCTCTTATGTATATATGTAACCTAAATATCTCATGTAGTTTTTCAGTATGCACACATTTTTTGATTTCTTGCAGCTTAGTGCTTATTAAGCTTTTCTTTCTAAAGGGTTCATATTTTATTTCTAAAGATTGGACAGTTTTTTTTTTCCTTCTCTCCTCCATTTGCATGAAGAAATGATATTCAAATTTCTACCTCCAATTCGCTGCTATTATATGACCATAGTTTGTTGTGTTACTGCAGCCTTTACTCAATCTTTTCCATTCAGCGCCTGGTAATGGACAGTGGAAGCGCAATGCAGATGCTGCTTTTCGAAATTGCACGGTATAGTATCTGTGCTGAAACCTAATTAGTTGAGTGCTTAGAAGAGCATGTTGTTTTTATTTTATATATGAATTCAGGAGAAATAATTAATTTACAGTATGTACAAATTTTAACATTCAAGCAAAACATATGAATTACGTGACAAGTGACCGTATAACCTTTAAGTAACTCTTCATCTATGAGTGCATAGTTTAAGACTTAAAAAATAATTATTTTCAGTTGTTAGGCCAGATTCTTGTTGCATAATTTGGTTACAGTTAAATGTCATTTAATAAGTTATGTTATTGCATAGATTGATTCAAATGCTAACTGAAATTTTGAATTATGCAGACCATAACATCATTTTTTGAAGAAACCCTTGAAGCAATTCCTGATTCGGTATTGGATTCGCCTGTTACAGAACCATCTCCTAGCCGCACCGATCTTTTTGCTAATGTAGACAGTTTACTGCCTCCTCCATACAGAACAAGTGAAGAGGCCATTGTTATATGCGCATAGGTTCTGGACACTCTGAAAAAAGTCAAATTATAGTCATTACCATTTTTTGTGTGAAATGAAGTGATACAAGTACAACTCATGTAACAGCTCACATCAATACAAGAAAAATGAATGTTCTATTTTGTAAGTTATTGTCTTCCAAATGTAATCTATTAAATTCAATTCGATGTAGAGGATTTAAGCAAAACATAGTGAATGAGTTTGCAATTCTTTAACAAATTGTTTTGGATTGTGGAATGTTGAGTGTCTTATATCACTCTCTCACATAAGAAACCCTTACACAAAAAATAGTAAGACATTTTTTTATATAGTGTATACCATCAATTTAATCTACTTGGTTCCTCAAGTACGAAGAAAATAGTCCTTAAACTTATGAAATCTGTCAAATTATTTTCTAAGATTATATATTGATAAGAGGTACTAGAACTAAAGACAGAGCTCACATAATTTAGGGACTAATTTAACAGATTTTATATATGATTTAGGGACTAAATTGATTCTTGAGGGACTAAATTTTTTTTATTTCAGAGCCACTAGTTCAAGAGGATCAACAATACAACGTGGCAATAACTTATTGGTCATTTCTCCTACAAGATAAGATAGTGGATGACCCTACAATCTCCAAGTCTGTGATTTACATTACATTCCATATATCCTTTTTATCTAACTTAACTTCTCACACACAACAAACACATACAAGCACTAGTTTTCAGAATTCAATCAAGATTACACCACTACACACCACATCAATGGCATCACTAACCATGACAGCATCATTCTTCGCCGGCAGCTCAGCGGTCGCCACGCGATCACCAGTGGCAACTCAAAGGAAGCTGGTGGTGGCAAATGCTGCTAGAGGAGTTGAAGTAGAAAAGATGAAAGTGAGTTATGAGAATGAAAAGGAAGAAACCAATGGAAGGAGGAACATCATGTTTGCAGCTGCAGCAGCAGCTGTTTGTTCTGTTGCTGGGATGGCTTTGGCTGATGAACCTAAACGTGGTTCTCCAGAAGCTAAGAAAGCATATGCACCTGTTTGTGTTACCATGCCAACAGCTAGGATTTGCCGCAACTGAGTGTGTTTTAGTGTTTTATGTACTTGTATTGTAATGAAATGAACATTGGGATGTAATGTTTTGGTTTCATATTCTTATCCTTTGTGAATCTATGTACTAAGTTGTTCATGAAACTATCAAATTTGCCTTGTCTATGTTATTGTTAGTTTGATGATCGACCAAGAAATTTAGTTAGATTGTTTGAAGTTTCATCTTGCTTTTAAGAGGAGAGGTAATATAGTAAATTTAGTTGTCTACGCAATAGTTAATAAAAAAAGAGAATTAGGCGTAGGTATTTCAACACACATAGTGCTGGTGCATATAATATTAGTTATTAATTTGTTTGTTAATACTTGATATTATTGTGAAATTTCATAAAAAGAAAATTTCACCATAATTCGATAAAAATACCATTTTACTTGATTTTTTTTCTGCTTAATATTTTTTATATGTTATCCTAATATTTGATATAAATTAACTATTTAAATTATTCTATTCATTTTTTTAGAATAAATAAAATAAGTAATCAGATTTATATTTTTTGTTTTACTATATCCAATAGATGCCACAATTATAATAATATTATTATAGTATAATTTGTTTAAAATTGTCACAATTGTATTTGTAAAAATTAAACATTTCAAACTTATATGTAAATAAATCAACCAAACTAAAACAAGGTAATATTTTCACATATAAATACCACTTTATTAGTAGAACATTCAAAAATAAGAAATTGACTTTATTAATAATATATTTATTTTATAGATCAATATTTAGAACATTCGACTTTTTTCATCAAAATAAATTAAAGAGCAATATATTTATAATTATGTACAAATAAATTATATCAATTCTAAAGTATGAATTAAAAACTATGTTAACGGTATTATTCAAAATTAAATAATGAATAGAACTATAACGATTTTAAGTATAAATATATATAATAAATAAAATCAACATTTTACTATTGAATGTTCTACCATTGTAATTATCTTAATGAAAAGTAAATTATGGATTTATCACCTATATTTTCCTTTGATTAAAAATATTAAATAATGTGAAATTAATACCTATATTTTTATTTGGTTGATTAATTTATTTGCAAGTTAGAATTTTTTATTTTATTTTGTAAATTCTATTATTGTGATCATTGTAAATAAAAACACATTACTGATTTATTACCTATATTTTAACTTTATTAAAAATAATAGAAAATATGAAATTATTATTTATATTTAAGTTTGACTGATTAATTTATTTGCACGTTCAATTTTGTTTTTGTTTTTTTACAAAATATGCAATTGTGATCATTTAAAATAAATTTTTCTTTTGTAACAAATAATATTATAATTGTGACGCCGTTTGGATATTGACAAATTAAAAATTTAAATCTTATTAAATAAAAAAAGTGTTAGTCTTTCATTTATATAAAATATTAGTATAATAAATAGAAAATATTTATGGTAAGATTCTCTTTTTAAATATTAAACATAATAGAAAAAAAATTAAATGAGGTATTCTTTGTATGAAATTAATAAATCTTAAACATTAATTAAATCTGACCGACGGTTGATATCAATATATCAGTTTTCACCGCTCCATCACACCTCGGCCGATATCCTTCATTCAGTGACCTCGCCATGGTGATTTCACTTGAGATTTTGATTCAACTTCAGAAAACTCTAGGATCCTCTTCAAGAATCTTCAGTGATGAAGGGAGCATGCTCAACTTGTATCAATTTCCTCTAAAATTGCAGATTCAACCTCAACGGATCAAGGAAGAAGATGACGATGAGTGGAGCTATGTGGTCCTTTCAGTTGCAAGAAATGGCATGCAATGGCTTCTCCTTAATGCTAGGATGAAGAAAAAGAATGAATCTCCAAGAATGATCCAGAAATAAGGGAGGATCGCACGCTTGAAGATGAGAGAGTGAAGAGATTCTTTCGATTTGAGATTGTGGAGTTTGTTGCAACTTTGTAACTGATTATCCAACTGAATCGTGACCACTGATTAGAGCTTGGTTAAGAGTTTATATACATGAGGTTATGGCGTGGTTAAGTTTCAATCATGAAGTTATAATCTTGAGTTAAGCTTTGGTTAGATTGAATGTAAAATGGAGAGTCATAGTGAAGCTCGGGTTAGCTCTTGAGTGAGTTATTGTTATGTTGATTGAATGAATAAAAGAGTGAGGGAGTGTAGTATGATAAGATGGCATGATAATCTTAATCAACAACTTTGTGAAAGCATCTTTTCAATTTGAGTGAAATTTCAAATTCATGCATTCATGCAAGGAGTTTGTGTGGCTATTTTGAGTAGCAAATGTGTATGCATGCGTACTGTAGCCTTATCCTGCTCACCACCCCAATAAAATGCCTTGTGGTGCAAATTCTGACCAAATTGTGAGGTTAATGCCCATGGCTATGCAGTCCTCTTCGTGAGCATATATCTTGATGCATACAACTCCTCATGATGAGGTCTTGAGATCAAGTGAAAGACCTTGGAGCAAGGAACAATCTTCATGTTAGAGTGAAATTGAGAAAATTCCTGTAACACATGAAGTCGTGCCTTCCGAATTGCTTAAGACACTTAAAAATTTCTAAGTTAAATGTTAACTTGAACAACTTGGAAACACCAACTTTATCCTCTCATAACTTCTTGTACTCTTGCTCAAATGAGGATCTCTTGATACCTCCATAAAGATCGTGGGAAGATGGACATCATTAATGTAGATAAGATCTTGAAAAGTGACTGGAATACCATGGAAAACCCCTTCAAAGTCAGGAACTTGAACTACTTGAAAACACTCGAAAAATTACTAAGTGTTTAAGCTTTCATAAGTCTTGGAACATCAACTTTTTCCACTCATAACTCTCTCTACAAAGCAAATTTCATCTTGATTCCCTCTACAAAGATGTAGTATGAAACATCATCTTCAGCTTGAGTCCTTGATTGCAACATTTAACTCATTGAGGGGAGAGATATTCATCTTGAAAGATGACTAAATGAACATGATATTATGTACTTAGAATTTTCATCAAAAACCCTAATTTCACCAAATTTGGGATTTTTTTTAATATTTCTCTTGATCAATCCTCACATTATCATGAAAAAGGACTGAAAATGTCCTTTTTGACCATAATTACCACAATTTGACCTTCACTTGACTGCTTGTTGACTTTTCATCAATTATGTCAAATCTTCTTCCATTATCAATTGTAATGCCTTGAACCAACTTGAATAAATCAATGAGGCACACATAGACATCTTCATGTCATGCATCCTGAAGTCAAGATTTTGGCAAAAAGTTCAACCTCAGGTTTTCTTTGACCAAAACCCTAATTTGGGGAACCAATTAGATGAAAGCTTGTGATCCATCTTCAAGCAATAAAACTTTGCTCTCTTGATGATCTTTAAGGAATTTGTATAGAAAGAAGACCTTGTGCCTTGAGAGAATAATCATGATAATGAGGTCTTAACCTTCTATTGGTTTTAACATCATATCTCCTTCTTGAATGGAGAAAGCCCTAATCCACATGAAACTTTGATCCCATATGTGTAAATGATAATGAAGACATAATCCATTTAGGGTTAAATATAAGAGAGAAAATTTTAGGATGCAACAACTGCCCCTATTCAATCATCTGAAACTTGAAGGTGGAAAGCAACGACTTTTAAACCTTCGAGGTAGAAGAAGATTGAATACCAAAAGAATCGCGAAATTTGAACTCTAAGGGGAAGAGGAAACCAATAATTGCTTTTGGTGATGACCTTCTGGATAAGGTTAAGAAACGTGTAATAAGCTCGAGGTTCCAAACAAGCAATGGACCTAAAGTTTGCCAAACCAACAAAAGCTCTACTACTGGGTGTTAAAAAGATAATAGGTAAAAGGTACCAAACAGGCGATGGACCTAAAGGTTTCCAAACAAGTGATGAACTCAGAAAGGATATCAAATAGGTAAAGGATTCAAAGGTTCTCAACAATCAAAGTATTCAAAAGTTCCAAATGGGTAATGGATTCCAGGGTTCCAAACAGGTAAAGGATCTCTAAGGTTCCAAACAAGTGTTGGGTTTAGGACTCGGTTAACAAATGGGTATGTTTTTTTTTTAAAAAGGGCGCCAAACTGCCAATGGGCTATGCACCAAGATCTCTTTTGTGGGATTACTCTCCTAGGGATATATCCACATGAAAGGATTTCAGAAAGCAAAAATTGGCTTATGCTTTGATGCATGTTTGAATTTTTCCATGGCGTAATGCTCCATGTAAATGGAAATGCTACACATTTTCGTGATATAATGCTCTGTCGGGTAACTTGCAAGAAAGTAGGTAACTTATGAGAAAAAGATCATGATATTATGATTCTCTGTGAGGAGTAACAAACTGGATACCAATCATGATTTGGATTATCAACTCTGGTGGGGAATTGCACTGCACTGCATGGAAAACCCTGATGAACTCTACAAGATAACTTGTCATCCCTGCGAGGATCTGCAAAAATAAATTGTAGACTCTCAAAAAAGGAGCCAATGAAAATTGGGCTGTGCTGAGAGTGCCAATAGCTATTGGACTTGTGGAGGATACCACCAAATCATGACTGGTGAGAGAGAGAGAGAGAGAGAGAGA